AAAGTGAAGGTGAAATTGCGAAAAAAAATTGTTAAAGCCGTTATTTTTCAACTAAATTTCGTTATTTTTATAATTTTTCCTTAGTTTTTGCAATTTTCGCAAAACTCGTAATTTTCGTAATTCCCATAACTTTTTCGTAATTTCCTTAATTTTTCCAAAATTCATCGTAATTTTTCTGTAATTCCCGTAATTTTTGAATAATTGCTATTGTTTCTCAGATTTTCGTAATTTTTTAATTTCCGTAACTTCTTAAAATATTCAGTTACTTATTTCATAATTCCCCCTAAGTTTTTGTTATTTTCAAAAATTCGTAATCCCCGTAATTTTCAATTTTTTTTTTTTTTGTGAATTTTCATTATTTCCGTAATTTCTTAGATAATTCTCCCTATTTCTATAATTCTTCCTTAGTCATTGCAAATCTTGGAAAACTCGTAATTTTCGTAATTCCCGTAACTTTTTCATAAATCCCGTAACTTTCCAAAAATTATCGTAATTTTTTCGCAATACCCGTGATTTTTTCTTATTTCTTTCAATTTTTATATTTTCAAATTTTCGTAATTTTGTAATTCCCGTAATTTCTCAAAAAACTCCGTTATCTTTATAATTCCCCCCAAGTTTGTTGTGATTCTCAAAACTTGGTAATTCCCGTAATTTTTTTTTTCTTGGAATTTTCGAAAATTTTAAAATTCCCGTCATTTCTCAAAAAAATTCTTCGTTGATTTCTTAATTCCCCCGATTTCCCCCTTAGTTTTTGCAATTTTCGGAAAATTCGTGAATCCCGTAACTTTTTGTAATTTTTGTTATTTTCGTAATTTTTTGAAATATGTCACAATTTTTTTAATTCCCGTGATTTTTTCATATTTTTCATAATTTTTAAATAATTCCTGTAGTTTTCAGATTTCCGTAATTTTTTAATTCCTGTAATTTCTCAGAAAACTCCGTTATTTTCATAATTCCGAAATTATGTAATTCTCGTAATTTTCGTATTTTATTTTGAGATTTTCGAGATTTTATAATTCCTGTCATTTCTCAGATAATTCTCGTTATTTTCATAATATCCCTTTAGTTTTTACAATTTTCGAAAAATTCGAAATTTGTAATGTCAGAAATGTCAATGATTGGGTTTAAAATAACCTATAAATCTAGATTTGATAAAACATATGGCAACGCTGCTCATGATACAACAAACGTCAAAAAATTAAAATGTCAAAGTAGGCCCTGGTTTTTTTGACAATCGATATAAAATGGCGTCTTTTTGTTTCAAAGATTACGATCCGAAGGGCCGAAGTATTAAGATCAGTTGACAATGAATGGGTTCGTATAACTCCGGCCCTTCGGATTCGCATGATTCCGGCCCTTCGGACTCATATAACCTTCGCCCTTTGAGCTCATAATTGAGATAACCTCAGCCTTTCAGAATCGAGATTCGAAAAAAAAACATATGGCAACACTGCTTATAATACAACAAACGTCAAAAAATTGGCACTGTTTGGCTACTTTCTACGTATTCGCTGAGGCTAAATCTATATATCCATGTGGGTTTTTTTTTTAAATTTTGACAACTGTCAATGTCAAAAAATTTTACCTTTTCTTTTTTTCAAAAAACAAATGTCAGAAAACGATCCCCAGGCTCCGAAAACCCTAAAATAAGAAGTTTCATCGATATATGTCAAAAACCAACCGCCTGGCAACGCCGAACGTTTTTTTTGACATATGTTTTTTGACATATGTTTTTTCCAAAAAACAAAGGTCGTTTTTTAGTGGGTTTTAGGGTGAGATTTATGTAACAACATTTAGCAACAGTTGGTACAAAAAATTCAATTTCCCTTCGGGTTTGGAATTCGAATTTTTGAATTTTCCTGGCTCCTGATTGGTTTGGGGATTCGAATTTTGTTTATTCCCGGCTCTTGATTGGCTTTAAAATAACCTATAATCTCGGCCCTTCGAGCTCGAGATTTGAAAAAAAACATATGGCAACACTGCTCATGATACAACAAACGTCAAAAAATTGAAATTTCAAACCTTGAGTTTTTTTGACAATCGATACAAAATGACGTCTTTTTGTTTCAAAGCTTACGGCCCGAAGGGCCGGAGTATGAAAAATCAGTTAACAATGAACGGGTTCGTTCGGATAAAACTTTTGTCGCACGACACTTTGGCAATATCGACAAATGTCTTCTGTCAAATTTGACACATGTTCGACTTTTTCTCCGCTCTACTATAAAAGCTACGAAAATCAAACCCCGGTACAAGGCAGTTTCGCAACGCTAACTATCGATTTGTGTCAAAAAAAATTGACAGCTGTCAACTTCAAAAAAGTTTTTTTTTTTATTTTGTAAATTTCGAGAAAAAAAATAATAGAAAACGATCCCCGGACCCCAAAAACCTTAAATAAAAATTCCAAAAAAAAAAAACAACGAAAATGACATTCTAAAACCTACTTGATAAAACTAAAGTTTTTCTCACTTACCCCGTTAAAACACTGGAAATTTTTGGTGGAAAATGAAGAAAACTCAAAGTGTCGTACTTTAAATCGGTTTTTCCGACCAGAAAAATCCTGGAAAAGCGGACAAATTCAAAGAAAAACTTCTAAAAATAACATGCCAAAGCCTACTTAATGAAATTTGAGTTTTTGTCACTTACCCCATTGGAAAACTGGGAATTTTTAGCACAAAATGTAGGAAATTCAAAGCCTCGTATTTCAAATCGGGTTTCTTGACTGAAAACGGATTGGAAAAGCGGAAAATTCGAGGGATAGAAATGTGAACACGTCAATTAAAAATTTCCGACTGTCAAAACTGGTAAATGACATTTATTACAAAACCTATTTGAAGTTGGTACAAACGGTGTTGCCACATCAAAACTTTAAAAAAAAAATATTTAATGGGATTTTGTTATTTATGTCATTTTAAAACTGGACATTTTTGCTAGAAAATGAAGAAAATTCAAAGCCTCGTATGTTAAATTGCCTTTTTCCATTGAAAAGCCCCGGAAAAGTGAAAAATTCGAGGAAAAACTGGCAAAAAATTACAAGGCGTCACTTCAAAATGGCCAACTAAAAGCAACGTTGCCACATCTCATTTCGGAAAACAAAAATAACATTTTAAAAGGGTTTTTTGCTTAAAATTCAATTTAATAATTAATTAATTAATAATGATTATAATAATTAAAATTCCCCAAATAAATCATAGGAAACTTGTTTTTAGTTTAATTTCAATGAAAATGACATTACAAGGTTTCCTTATTGATTATAGTGAGTAAGACAAAGACAATGATAAAGTAGTATATGTTTGCAAAAACCACCGTTATCTGAAAAAAGTAAAAATCCTAAGAAAACCAATATTCCAAAATCAATTTGATAAAACTAAAGTTTTTGAATATTCCCGACTCTTTGATCGGACACTAAAAATCGCATTTTAAATACTCCCGGTTTTTAATTGGCTCTAAATTATCCGCTGACCAATAGAATTATAAACTAGTCCCTGCGATTGAAATAACTCTAGCCCTTCGGGCTCGTGTATAACTCCGGCCCTTCGGGCCGTTATTAGTGAGTATCCCAGATTCACAGCTGAAACTTTCACTGAATTTTATTCCTTTCAAAGGGCTACAATCCCTGAAAATTTCAGCTCATTTGCTCTTATAGTTCCTGAGATAAAATAGTGTTAAGCAATTTGGGGTGATTTATCAATTTTTCAATTTTTTTGAGTGCCTTTTTTCTTGACATGCTCATGAATAATTGCTTGTAGCTTCGATTATTTTTAAGCAAATTAATAAAAACTATGTCATTGAAAAGAGCATTAAATGTTCTATAAAACTGTGCAAAATTGGTTTTTGTAGCTTGTAAGGTTTCAAAGATATTGAGCCTCAAATTGGAAATTTAGCTAAACTTTGTCCAAAACTATAAACTCGATTTTCTCGAAAATTATAAATGCTAGCGATTTCAAATACCATCTGAAAGCCCTTTTCAAGAGCTACAATACCTGAAAATTTTGTTTCAGTACCAGTTTTGGTTACCGAGATATTTAGGATTGAATATTTCCAATTAAAAATCCAAAGGGACCCTTAGAAAAATGTGCAAAAAATTGAAAATTTCTATTTTTGGATTTTTCCCAATTTTGACTTTAGAAATCTATAAAGCGAGTCCAAATTAGTTAGAAACAAATCTAATATCAATTACATTTAGAAATTTCGATAAGAGAAAAAATCCAAGGAAATTTCATTATCTTGACATGCTCATGAATAATTGCCTATATCTTCCATTATTTTTGAGCATATTAATAATAACTATATACTATTGGAAAGAGTATTAAATTCTCTATAATTAAGGCTGTGCAAAATTGGTTTTCGTTACTTTTGAAATTTCCAAGATTTTGAGCTTGAAAGTATAAATTCAGTCAACATTTTGTCTAAAACTTCAAACTCAAAAACTGTAAACGATAGCGATTCCAGCTAAATACCATTTTGAAGCCCTATAGAAGACTCAAAGGCCTGGAATAGAAAAACGATGATTTTTCTATCAAATATTCACATAATATTAGGAAATCGCCTATAAATTAGAAAAATTCAATGTGAATTGGGTAAACATAACACAGAACTTAAAATTATAAATAAATATTTGATTAGAAAATCAGTTACATATTTGAATTTTGTGCAAGTAAAAAGATTTTAATAAAGTCATAGTACTGCCAAAGTACTACCGCCCTGACCACCTAGACTTCTTGGGAAATATTGGAATATGTATCGAAAACACACAAATATATCTTTTAAGATTTTCTTGGTCCCAACTTGCAAATTTGAGTTGTTTATTTCAACTTAACCCTTGGGAAAGGGATGGCTACATTCTTTTCTTTATTATTGTCCACCCTTCAAGGATTTTGGTTTTTTGGCTGTAGAAATGGGCTTCTTGAAAAAGCTGGAACATTATTTTGTCTTGTGTGAAATAAATCAAATATTTAGCATAAATAAACACTTTCAAAGTTTACATAACACATTTTTTTCAGTGCCACAGTACAAAGATTCTCCGACGAATGTCTCAGAGCCAAAAAGGACATTCTATTCTACGTCCCCCACAAAGTGATGGGCCCCTACGCCACAGAACTCGTGTCCCATTTACAAAACGTACAGGTTAAGTTAAGAACAATGAAAGAACGATAAATTTATACAAATTATAGGTAATTACTACTTCAGTATTATTGTTTTAAGGTAAGTGTGTATTTGTTATTTATTTATTATTTTTGGTGATTGTTCCAAAGAATTATTTATATAATATTGATCTTTTTTTTTTGATTTATCTGAAGAATAAATGTACTTTTTATTTATTGATTATTCTCCCTTTTTCAACTTCCACGATAGATAATGCTCCCAAACATCCACGTCAAACCATTGATATTTTTCTGGTTTTGAGAGGTCAAATATCATTTTGCCACATTTATTTGGCCTAAAAAAAAAAGCATAAATAATTCTTACAGCCTGAGGTTTTTTTTCTTACCCGGAATCTATGCAAGTGTAAGGAACTTCTTTTTGGAAACATTTGTTCGCTGGTAGTAGTTCAAAGTAAAATTTACGAACACTCCTGGATTCTTCGCTATTGACATTTCTTAAGCATTGGAGGAAGGCATGTTCACAATGACAACTTAAACTACAAAAAATGGTTAAAAATTTTAAAAAATGGGAATAATTAATTTGAAGCTTACCCAGTTTTTAACATTGTATTCTGTAACCCATACTTTTTCTCGCCAACACTAATTTTATTTGGACAATTATCGTGAGCACGACAGCAAGCGTCTAAATCTTCTAATTTTCCTAAATCATCATAGTATTGGGCTGTGTTTCCTGGTCCACACCAGTTAGTACCTTTGACCAATAAGTTTTATTCACTATATTCTAATTGAGTACCTAATTGATTATACTTACCAAATACAACTGAAGTTAATGTTGTTTCCAAAGAATCACCGTCTGGATTTCTAAAAGTTGAGTCATCATCTATGTATAATGGTTGATATGCAAGAGAAATTGTGAGCATACAAGGTACCAGAAATAATAATGGAAGTAACTTTGCCATTTTTTTTGTTTGTAACAATTTGTGTGTTTTAGAGAAACATGGTTCTGTATTTATATAATAGAAAAAGTCGTGTCTAATTGCTGCAATTCGGTATCGCAGATTGCAGTTTTGCTATCTTTGGACATTTAAATTGCCTCAAAAGTTACTGAATTTGAATTGTTTAAACGGAGTTTATGATTCAAGTAGAATAATGAAAAGTAAAGTACCCAATTGTTGAAATGTTAAGGGTATCCTTGCTTATAGACGGAGAGCCAGTGCCTAAAGAATTCACTGAATTTACTAAAGCTATGTAGTTTTTGGACAGTATATTGGGGCTGACTGACCATCACGGTTCCGCTATTCAGCTGACTGACTAACATCACTGTTATTTATGTGTACTATATAATATTATGTATAACAATTTTCAGTCTCGGTAAATTCATTGCATTACCTAAGTTTTCTCGACAACTTTAGCAGGACTCCCTTATAGGTCCTTGTTCTAATGTTCGTTTGACTGACCACAGTATATTTATGTATATAAACTGCAGGACAATTGCTTTCGAACAAGGTAAATATCGCCTAAGTTTCAAGATCGATATTTTTGGAACCAGAATAGATATCGACCTGCGGTTTTCACGGGCTGACAGATTGACTTATTGTGAAAAAATCTGCTATTTAGAATTTTTTTTAAATGTCTAATTTTTTTTTATACAGGGTGTTAAAAGAGTCCATGATTTTCATCCCAATTTTAAAAGTGTGTAACTTTCTCAGATAATTTTTTAATTTTTTTTTCTATGCGGCGTTTTAATCAATGATCTGCAAAAAAAGTAATTTCTCAAATTTTTTATACCTGCCTTAGTTTTAAAAATACCGATTTTTTTTTTATAACCTCCACTTTTTTCAACTTTTAAGCACCTGAACCATCCTGTACAATAAATCTTGCATCTTATGCTGCTGTTTGATATACCCCACGATATCCTGGTTTATTTTCAATAAAAAAAAAAAATACTAAAATAATGTGGTGTCCAGTAGCGTACTAATAATCCCCCATTTTCGGAATTATTTATTAATGGCTCACCGAATTTTACATTCAAAGGTGCATAATTTTAAAAATAATCATTTGAAGTTTCATTTGTTTAGTTCACTTCAATCATTGACATATTATTAAGAAACCAGTTTCTCAAAATTTTGATATTTGCCTCTGTTTCTGAAATATCGTTTTTCTCCAAACGTCAAAAAAACGCCACTTTGTTAATCTCTGTCAAGATGTCAGAAATTTAATTTCTATGCTGGTAGGCAAATCCAGCAGGTTAATACCTGTCGAGGTGGTAGAAATTTAATTTCTATGCTGCTTGGCAACCTCAGCGGCAGCAAAAGTACTTTTAGTGCCGCTCGTACTTTTACTGCCGCTTAACAATTCAGTTACCCCCGAGCTTACCCCATTTGTTTGGAGAAAAAATAGCGTGTTGCACACGGAGCAGAAGCACTTTTTTGTGCTTCAGCAGTATTGCAAGCCTCACTACGTTCGGCTCGCAAACCTACTGCTTCAGCACAAAAAAGTAAAGCTTCTACTCCTAATACAACAATATACTATTATTTAACATAACCATATTAATTTTCTCAACTTTTCCGTTCTAAACCATACCGAATCGATCTTACCGATGAATTTTTTTAGCAATTGTCATACCTTTCAGCCAGCGTATTTACTGTGATTAAAAATATCGAATACCTCAATGATATGCTGAACAGTGGCGTGCAAACAGAAATTATTATTTTTCATTAAATCAATTTTATTAGCAATTGTTATATCTTTCGATTAGCTTATTTTTATGATTAAAAATTTCGAATACCTCAATGATATGCTATACAGTGGCGTGCTAATAATTATATATACCACTGATAAAATTTAAATATTCGGAACCGATTTCGTTGTGGTGAGAGGAAACCCGAATTTTTATTACCTGCTAATTTTCTTTGTAGCTTCATGATTAAAGGTATTTCAATTAAAAATTCTTCCACTAATCGTAGCAGTATCAAAAAATAAAGTTAAGGATGGTAAATTACATTATCTGCCAAACAAAAAATTATATGAACAACGTTAATGCTTCTTTAAGTTGATTTAAAACAAAACACAAAAAGTGTTCCTATAGGTTTTTTACGTTATTTTTAGGATAACGTCGTAGAACAAGGACTGACAATGTTGTCAATGCTTTTTTTTTCCTTATAATTTACCAGAATGTAATAATAAATTATCAAGACCACTGACAGCTAGAAATAACAAAATGAATCGACACGTGTTATTTATTTGAAAATGTTTATTCAAATCATACAACGTCGCGCGCCGTTGTCAACCGGTAACATCTGAAATTCCCCTACTTTAAATGCGTTAAGAAGTACTTTCAGTTTAGTTAGGTAGATACCTAGGTAAAACGTATCAAAATAAGTGAACTAAAAAACTAATCAAACTAAGATTCAATGGGTCCTATGATTGAATGTTTACGTTATCTGTAACGTACATGTTAGGCCGAGTTTTAACAGATACGATGCAAGTTCGTATGATGGAAAGTTTTTCATAACAGATTACTGTTATTTCCCTCCTGTTATGTCCTAATTTAACATATCTCCTCAACAGCCCCGAATAACATGCCGTTAAGTGCTTAACGTTCATGTTACCGATGTTTTTTTATTTTTTTAGAGATCCTATTTTGAATGACGGGGTAATTAATTTACATAATACAAGAGAATCAAACTAGGAAGTACCTAGATTATAAACTTCATTACTATTTTATGTTAATCAGTTATGAGATACAGAACTTTAATATTAATTCACTATTTAAGGACTGAATTAAACACTCAAAGAAGGCATATACCAGAGATCAATTGAAACTCCTGATAAGATTTTATTACTAAATATACCAGACTTTCAAAAGAATCGGTGCAGTTTATAATTGCTAGAATAAGGCCCCATTTTAATATTCCTCAAAGACCAAGGATTTCATCCATTTCAGTTGAACTGAAGGTCTGAATTCTAAAAGTTTATTCTGAATTCTTAGTATAGTTGGAACTGTTTTTCATTTTATATAAGGCAGTGGTTCTAGTAATGATTTTATTTTCGTGTACAAATGATGTCCACTCATCAGAGGTGTTTTCTCGCGTCTCGAATTTTTGAAATTTTTTTCAAAACTGGTTTGAAACAGTTTCACAATGACATCATAACTTCTCGGCGCTGGACAATGATTCAAAAACATGGATTGGATTGTATTTCGGAACGGTTTGAACCAATTTTGTATGACGTCATGGGTTCATCGCGAGAATATACTATATTTCCTTCGACCATTCAAACCTGTTTTGAATCAGTTTTAAAGAAGTGAACACGAGAAAACAGCTCTGATGTTTTTTGGGGTCCAACACCCAGGGCATTTATATGATTTGGAAATGCTAGGTCCCCATACTGTTTCACAAATATTTTAGATATTCTTTTCACCCTAATAAATTGAATAAAATGCAAAATGAGCTACAAAAAAATGTCATTTAATTGTTTGTTATTGTTGTTTCAAGAAAAACGTCACTTTTGAAACCAAAGTGAAGCTAGGTACAAATACCTTCTTCCATTCTTAACAGCCAGCTTAACATTTTCTGTTATCGATTTCGTCAATCATACCAAAATAACATCCACTGTTATTTTATATGTTATCTATTCCCTGTTAGCATAACATAACAGGTTTGTGTTAATTTTAACGTAAATGTTCAATCATAGGACTCAATAACAACAACAAAGTGACCTAAAAGTTGAGTAATAAACAACGTAAACTAAAAAAATTAATAAAGAACGGCAGATAATCAAAGTTATAGTTAGTAAGCCGTCTCCTCACATTCACAACCTCTTGGCATCGTCGGCCATGGCATGTTGTCAACCAAGAGGTTAATGAATGCCTGAGGGATATTTTGCCACTCTTCTTCTATGGCAAGTGCGAACTCATCTAGCGTTTGGGAGCATTTTCGCGCGTTCGTACCAGTAACTTAAGCTGAAACCACACAAGATCAGGAGATTTTAGAGGCAGGTGTAACTGTTGCATGTTATGATCCCCCAAAAGCTCGTAAACAATTCTTGCTTTGTGTGGTCTCGCATTATCGTCAACCATGATGAAATGCTCCTCAATATTTTCTGCATATGGAATAACAATGTCATTTATTATGTGATTCCGATAAATTACGGCGTTAACAGTACCCCGTGAAATGTATAAGTCGGATCTATCGTTGTACATCACTCCGGCCCAAACATTAAACCCTCCTCCTCCAAAGGTTTTCTGAGAAGCCATGTTGTCTTCTTCAAATTGCTCCGCAGGTTGCCTCCATACTAACACTCTACCATCGGAGTGTATCAGGTTCAAGTAAATAACACGTGTAGATTCATTTTGTTATTTCTAGCTGTCAGTGGTTTTGATAATTTTTTATTACATTCTGGTAAATTATAAGGAAAAAAATAGGCATTGACAACATTGTCAGTCCTTGTTCTACGACGTCATCCTAAACATAACGTAAAAAACCTATAGAAACACTTTTTGTGTTTTGTTTTGAATCAACTTAAAGAAGCATTAACGTTGTTCATATAATTTTTTGTTTAGCAGATAATATAATTTACCATCCTTAACTTTATTTTGTGATACTGCTACCATTAGTGGAATAATGTTTAATTGAAATACCTTTAAACATGAAGCTACAAAGAAAATTAGCAGGTAATAAAAATTCGGGTTTCCTCTCACCACAACGAAATCGGTTCCGAATATTTAAATTTTATCAGGGGTATATATAATTATTAGCACGCCATTGAGGTATAGCATATCATTGAGGTAGGTATTCGAAATTTTTAATCATAAAAATACGCTAATCGAAAGATATAACAATTGCTAATAAAATTGATTTAATGAAATAGTATATTAAAGTATAAGTGGATATTAAGGTAGAATGCTACATTCGTGCTTGATACTTGTTACATTTTATTTGACGTTATCTACAAGTACCTAACCTACTCCTGACAAATCAATAATTAAAAAGTTGACATTTAAACCTTTCTCGGGTTGTTGGTTGTTGATGTTGTCATTGGTAACTTTAAAACACGCGCGTTTTTGAATGTTGGATTTAAACACGCTGAGGAGTAC